AGAAGCTGGCGATACTGATTGAGACCCTCCTTACCTCTATGGGAATTAGAATATCACTTAGGATGAGTCAAAGGGAAGGACTGCTCTAGTCGTACAGGATCTGTGGCCAGTTGGCAATCTGGGCCCAAAATTAATTTTTGTCCAAACCCTTGGAATTGCTCTTGTTCTTCAGATGTGAAGAGGGTCTGTAAAAGCTGTTGGCAATCATCCCAAGTGGGCTGATAGGTGAAGAGAACAGATTCCAGAAAAGATATAAGTCCTTGAGGGTTCTGAGAGAAAGAGAGGTTCTGGTTTTTCCAGTTACATAAATCACTAGTTGAGAAGGGGATACAAACCATGAAAGGGCAGTCATCTCCACCCAATTGTTCATGGAGAGGAAGTACTGAGGCTGGGGCTGAGGTGGGAAAAAGATCAGGGTCAGATGGCGGGGGCTGAGAAAAGGGCAGTCAGCTATGGGTGTTCAGCAGACTCAGAGGAGTGGAGGAGTCGGGGCTAGCTAAAAGGTTAAGGGAGGGACGGGACAGTTTAGGGTAAGGAGGGGAGTCGGGGATTCAGATGTTGGGGGCAGCACAGGTGGCCTTTCAGGACACTAAGATCGTTTTCTGGAGCGGCGGCCAGCGCCACTGTACCAGAGGCGCGTTGGTATGATGCCCAGGCACGGCGACAGTTCTTCATCCACTTCAGAGTGTCCTGTAATAAATCTATCCATGCTTGGACATATGGGACTTGATCAGGATGTCCCAGCTTTCCAAATATGACCCTGCAGACCTGATAAGCAAGGAAGATGTTGAAAGGCCACACAGACTCTCATAAGTGGGGCCACTCCTGTCCGCACAAGGTGCGGAGAGTCCCCGGGGAGACAAGGTTTTCGTAGTCAGCAGCTCGCCATCGGAATTCCTGGAAATGATCAAGAATATATTGCAAAGGCGACACAGAAGCAGAAGCAGACTGACCCATGGTTATCAGACAGACAAACGACAATCAGCCGAAACACACAAAAACGAAACAGAAACACACCTGAGACTCCAACCCTTCACCACGGAAAGGAGTCAAGTCCGGAGGTGATCGCTGCGTCCAGCACCTCTTAGGACTCTCAGAGGGGGCGCCCCGACAGAACAGACACAGATGTCTTACCGGCAAGATCTTTCAGGTGGCTCGGTCTAGTCAGTCCGAATAATAGGATTTATGAGTTTTTGGAGATCCTCCCAGGGCCAGAAATTTCCCCTGGGGAAATGGATTCCAAAGACTCTGGTTCCTATGATTGATCCCCAGTAAAGGGGATCCCGGATGAGCCCCCAAATCTTATGGGTCCCACTGCATAAGAGCCAGATCAGCCAGATAGAAATTTGAATAGAGCCTTTCATTTACTGAGCTCAGGTCTGTCAGCCACTTCTCTCGCGGGAGAGGGCTGATCGGCCCCGAATGTAGGCAGCAGGCGGGTATTTGTAACAGAAACTACATCCAGTTTGGTAAGCGAGTTTGTTATCTCGTGCAGAACAACAGAAGACTACATTCATTTGACACAGCTGCAAACTCTTCGTAACTAAAGGGTCTTTCACAGCTTAGTCATAAGTGCATATTTTACAACATACATCTTAAGCTGAGCACGATCCAAGAGATGGTTAGGGAGGGAGCTTGCTGCCTTGACGAGAAACAGTTATTTATTGTTCAACAGGCTTGAGCTGAGACAGAGAATACATTTCTTAGAGCAGATAACAGGAAGCACAAGGGTTTTTTAATAATTTCCCGCAGTTAAGGCACAAACTTCTGTTAACCCTTTACATATTTATGCTCCTCAAAGGAAAGCGGGACAGAAGAGTTCTTCTCCACCACTGAAGCGGTTCCCGGGTATTTAGCTAGAAACGCCAGCCTGAGAGGCGCCGGTATATTCCACGTGCAATAATTTCTTGGCAGCAAACAACAGTCTAATCCTGGAGCACACTGAGGAAAACAAGGCCTCCCCAGTCTTCCTGCTTCTCTGAGCCTCAGTCACCGAGAGCTCAAGGTCCCGAGGGCCGCCGCGTGTGTCCTGGACGGCCGAGGATGGCATGCCGGTGTCCTGCGAACCCTCTGAGCACACGCGGACGCCGTGAGGGGCTCTCAGCTGGGTCCCGCGGGCGCCTGGAGCAGACCTGCAGTGCAGCGCACTCGGATGCCCTCCTCGCAGCCTCCTGCCCACCCGCCGCCGCTCTTCTGGGCGCTCTTCCTCCTGCCTGGGCTCTCGGCGGCCTCCCAGCCTTGTCTGTTTGCAGGCTGCGGCTTCCTCCGAGTTGCCCACCTCCGCAGACTGGTGCATGCAGGGCCCTTCCCGTGCGGCTGCACCGCCACCTGGAATGTCCCCGCTCCTGGCTTTCCTAGTAACCCTTTCCTGAGTTTTCCTGCAGCAGGTTCAGTGCTCCGAGGCCTTCTGCTGTGTGGCCACATTCCCGTCCCCGCTTGGGGACCCTTGGACATCCGCCCTTCCACCTCTGTCCCCTCAGGCACTGCGGAATAGTCAGCGGTAGTGGGCAGAACCACTCGGTCCCCGCTTCACTTCCTTCCGCCGCCAGATGTAATCTCTTCAGAAATGGGACTACTGCAGCTGGCAGGTGCACACTGAACCAGCCAGGGTGGCCCGCAAACCCTGCGGAGCCCTTCACCCCTGCAGCCCCCTGCCGCCCTCTCCTCCTCCCCTCACCCCTCCACTGCCCGTGCCCCTGAGGGGAGGCCCCCAGGCGACCCCAGGCAGGCTCACCAGGCCTCTGCCTGCAGCCTGCGCTCTGCCTCTTCCTCCCACTGGCTCATCCACAGCCCGGCCCGCCCCCTCGCGGCCGCCGGGGCCACTGCGCCTTCTCATTTTTCTTGGTACTTTTGACCTGGGTTTTTATTTTTGGGTTTTCTCTCTTACTGCTAGTAGTGCTTTCCTCTAGCCATAATTTATTGCGCACGTTAAAATTCTGTGGCCCATCTCCTCCAGTAATGGTTTTTCAAGTGGCACACATTTTCTGTTGGAGGGTTTTATTTATTTATTTATTTTTGTTCTGGGATCAAGTGCTTATGCCTCCGAGCTATCTGCACGAACCTTCCTGTTACATTTTTCGAGTACGACGGCATTCTGAGGTGGGTGGTGGCCTAGCATGTGTGCACAATTCCACAGGGCCTGTCGCTTTGCTCTTGCTCACTAGGGAAACACACATGGAAGCCTGAACCTCTGGGGAGCTCCAGCAGGGCCCTAAGCACCGGGCACCTCCTCACTCCACTGTGCGGCCCACCCCAGGCAGCTTCCACAATCAGGGATTCAACTTAAATCCTTGGACGAGGGGCTGTGGCTCAGGCCTGGGCTTAGCGAGCCGGCATTCATTCAGCCTTGGTTTCAGCAAAAGTTAGTCTAATGTATTTACAGGAAGCTTGCCAGTGTTTGGGGTTCTTCTTGCTGGTCTTCCAAGGCCTGCACAGTTGCGGTGGGAGAAGCCTGTCACCCCAGAGCCTTCCTGCTCTCTTCTGGGCTGCAGGAGGGCTGCACATGGCCACCTAGTACCTACGACCTAAAGCAGACGAGGGCAATCTGAGTGCGCTGCTACCAGTCCCTGGGCAGCTGGATCCAGGCAGGACACAGTGGGAGGCCTGGGACCAAGGAGAGCTGCTCATCCCAGGCTGCCAGGGGGGGAGAGGGCAAGGGGACCCAGGGGACGGAAAGGGGCCCTCCCAGGCTGCACCCCACCAGCCTCCTGCTGACCAGCCACCTACACCAGCCCCATTACTAAGTCACCTCCCAAAAGCCCACCTCTGACCACATGAACTATTTGTGGGACAACTTCGATCTGAACGGTAGCAGGGGTTTGGAAGGCAGTTGCCTGTGGGTGGCTGGGGGACACTCACAACCCGCCACTCTGCAACCCTGGCACCCAAGCAATGGTTAGGGAGCCTTTATTATTGGTAGCCAAGAGGCAAGAACACAAAGGTCAATGGCCTTTTCACGACTGCCCTCTCAAGCCAGGGACACAGCTCATCCGCACAAGTGCCTGCTTGGTGAGCACAAGGTCCTGAGCTAGATTCGTGGTACAAAAGATAAAATCTGTCCTTTCACTGCCCTGCCCTCCACCCCAGCTACAGCCTCCACAAGATGCCTCCAGAGCCTCGTGGATTCACTCATGAACTGCTTAATTTCTCAAGTCAAAATTCTTTCCTTCTTGGGCCAGTACAGGCGCCGGTTCCGTTAGTCAGATTTTCATTGTTCTGAGAAAGTTCTCGGGCTAGTCAACTGATTGGACCTCAGGATCCACGTGGCCCTCGGGGCACGACTCAGGACTGCATTTGTGGGGTTCAACTACCCAAGGTGGGGCACTCAGCTCCCACATGGCCAGCTTGGCCCTCAGTGTGTCCCTGGCCACGGAAGAAGGAGACTGATCACAGGGAGTAGCTCAGTGCCCCGAGGGGCCAGAGGCCTGGCAACGATGGGACAGACACAAGAGCCAGGCGCTTCCCGTTTGTTTTTATTTTGTCAGTTCTGGAGCACAGTTGGCCTCAGATGGACAGACAGGGCCAGGGGGACGCGTGGCAAGGTGCTACCCAGCTCAGCCAGGAGGGAACATGGCACCAGGGTGCTGGGGCCTGTCACAGGTTCCCGAGCAAAGTGAGCTGCAGTAGGAAGATCTGAGAAGACATCAGGATTCCGAAACTCTTGGACTCAAGCACACTGTCCTGAGAATCTAAGGCAATCAGGGCAGGGGCCCCTTCCTGAGGAGGGGCCAAGGCGATGTCGGGATCAGGGCTGGCCTGCTTTTTCTCCTCGATCCAGTTGGCAAAGTAGGTGACATTGGCAAAGACGCTGGGTGCCACAGGAGATTCACAGCCTGAACTCCAGCTGGTAATGCCTATCAGGTACCAGACACCTTCTACTGGGCAGACCAGGGGGCCCCCAGAGTCTCCCTGAGGAGAGAGACGACACAGACAGTGAGACGGAGACAGGCAGGCGCACACACTGCCCACAGTGGAGCATCAGTGGGCTCCAGGGCTTGCCACTGCCTGCATGGGGTACTTATCAGAGGTACCTTGAGAACTTTAACAGTTGAGGCACCAGGGAGGTGACAACTCCTGGGTTACTACGTGCAGAGTAAGGCCCCAGAGCCCCATCTCACACACCTCCAAAGGGACCCTGGGCATCGCTCAAGTTGGCAGTCGTGGGCCAGGAGAATGAATGAAGGGACTCTTGGAGCCTGACATCAGCTCTCTGCCCTCCCACGCATGAGAGAGGACGGGCCTCCAAGGTCCATGGGGCAGGACAGTGCGGGAGGACAGTGACAGGACAAAAGGGTAAGGGTGGCCCTCTGGGTGTAGATGGTATGAATGCACTGAAGCCTACAGCTTCATCCAATAGTGCAAATTAAGCCCTTTTCTTTGCATGCTATTTGTCCACATTTCTTTCCTTTTTTTTTGTTTGTTTGTTTTTGTTTTTGTTTTTGTCCACATTTCTTTAAAGGTACAAAGAAAACAGATGAGATGGGTGGTGCTGTTTAGGGAGTCTGACATCTTAGGCTGAGCTGAGCTCAGGGAAGATTTTAGAAAAGGGGCTGTGCAGAGTACAGAGAAGACAGCGGGGAGACACAGTTACTCTAGGAGCAGGGGGGTGACCAGGCCATGTGGAGTCTGAGGGACCTCACTTACTCTGCAGATAGATTTTTCAGTTTTGCGTGATGCAGCACACAGCATGTCCTCCTTTACCGCGTAGACAGGACCAGGGTAACCCTCGGGCGGAGGTGGGTACATCCAGGCACAATCGTCCTGACCCATGAGAGTCATCTTCCCCTGCTGCAGCCGGAAGGG